ACTAGCCTATTAGCCATGTAAACACAAACATGGGGCAGATTCAGCCTCGAAATCTCATTCCAATGTTCATGCAAGGATAATAGTGAAAATACATGCTATAATTTTTGGTGTTTGTTTTATTTTGTCATCATTCAAATTACACTGCAAGTAACTGATTGATAATTAGACGATGTTATGTTTGATGAAATTGGTAAATATTTTTTGATTTCATCCAAAAATTGAAGATAAATTCGAAGTGGTAATGTTTTATTTTGTTCTTCGAATAATTCTGATTTTAATTGTTGAAACATCATATCTGAATTTGATTCACACATTTTGTACATTTTATATAATCGTTTGCCATCCATCGTTTTACAAAGTGGCATCATTGTCTGTAATTCCATAGCATTCAAAAAATCTAGAACATCATCTTTCGTCCATAATTCAATATCGGTTTTGGTGACATAACTGGAACTTCTAGCTTTTATCTCTTCTGATTTTTTGTCTGACAAATTGCTATCTCTATAACCAGAAACAAAGCAATCTCATACAGTGGATACACTGCTATATAAGAATAATTGGTTATTAGTATCCTTAGCTGTAGGTAGAGTGTTTAGTATATATAACAGTACACAATTAAACAAGATCTAAGAAATTTTTTTGATAAAACATAGTTTAGGCTATATAAAACGTAAAACGAACAGAAGAACACTATACTGATCATTTAGGGAAGTCTATCCTAGACTGATCAGCAGAGCTCGCCATGGGATCCAGGCCGTTCTCGCTCATGTATTGTGGTTATAAGCAGAGCCAATGGTTGTATGGAAAAGTCTAGTAGAATCTGTATCGATGTGGCACAGTGGGCATTGTTCCATAGAGCAGACGGACAACTCGTTTTTTTGAGTTAAAAAATGATTACTTTCGCATAATATGGTGTTATTATGCGTCAGATATTAATAAAAGTAAAAAAAGCTCGAATTCAAAAAGACATTTTTTCCGATAAAAAATTCTTAACCCTTGCCGTGAATTTTTGTCCAAAAATATTTTATTTGTAAAATTAACAAATTATACATCATTCGATGCAATTTTTCATGCTGATTTCGAATATCATATTAATTTTCAATAAAAGTATTTCTCGGCTCAGGAAAATGCCTAAAAAAATCAGGGTTTTTTGGAATACCCGTATATTGGTCCAGGAGAATTCGCGCATTTTCGCGCATACATGCTCGATGCAGGATACGTGGACGAAAATTTTAACGTGATTTGAAGTCGAATTAGACTTTAAGAAAATTCAGGATTTTTACTGCACTGAGGACGTCAGTCGCAAACACTCTTTTGTTTAGGAAAACACCAAATTTCTCCTTAGCGCTTAACCCTGAGATAATATTTTTTTTCAGAAATGTAAGCGAAATAGTGCAGATTCCGAATATCTATACCTCATAACTTACCATATAGTCCAAAATACAAAAGAAATTTTGCCGGCGAAAGACGCTTTTTAGCGGGTCTTTTTTCTCTTATAGGTTTTTTCCGGAAATTCATCAGCTAGAAATTTCGCCATTAGATAGCTCAGACTTTGGAGTATTTATCAGGCTACTTGAATTTTGAAAAAGCTTACTTTCGATTTTTCTCCAAATGTCCGCCTACATGCCCACTGTGTGTGGCTTGTTTGTAGAAATATGAATAAATCAAGTTTCCCGGTAGTGAGAGTCAGATATCTTTACGGACAAATTCTCGGTTTTGTGTTGATGATGAAAACAAAATACTGATTATTGCATGTATCGTTGATAAAGAAAGAAATATGAAAGGCATCTGACTTTTCTGATCGAAAAATACCCATGAAACAAGACATAGTAAAAATCGAACAATGATCAAGGTGGAGTTATTTCTTGTACTAGATAAAAGTTCGACATTTTTTAGGTTAATCAGATCACTCACATGTCTACAAGCAAGCCACATTGACACAAATCCTTTTAGATTTTTCATATAACCACTGGCCCTACCTATGGACATAATATATGAGCGAGAACGGTCTGAATCACTTTGCGAGGTGCTCTTGGGAGGAAAATGTCAAGAAGTTGATGAACGTTTAATTATTCATAATATCACTTACATAGAAGTTTTCTCATCACTTGCTACTAAAATTGGCGTGACAATTTTGTCTCGTTTGTTGTCTTGTGTAACCATGTGCTCTTGTAGAGCATCTTGTTTTGATATTTTTGTTTGACCTTGATAACGATTAATTTCTGTGAGTAATTTTTGATAAGCCATATCAAAGTCAGTCTTAGAAAAATCCACATATACTTTACCACTGATAATCAGGCCTAACCAACCATCTGGTCGATAATTCTTCGTAACTTTTAATGGTATTAGTTGACACCGTCTTTCGTAAGCATAGTGTGCTTCTGATTGACAATACACACTTTGTTTATATGTATCAGACATACAAATAAAGACAAATCTTGAATTTTCAATTGCATCGGCCATTTCTTGCATTTGTGAACCGTAAAGATTATCACGATCAAGCCATACACGAAAGTTATCTTTAACTAAACGTTCTTGTATCTGATAACATACATCTTTGTCAGAATGTGAATAACTTATCATAACATCATATTTATGGGCATCATTCGTAGGCTCTATTTTTATTGTAGGTTTAGCGACTCGTTTGAATCTGAAGCGCATAAAAGACCTACTCAACTCTGTTTCTATCATTTCTTCTTGTTCTTTTTTGGTCATTATATATTCTGCTTCTTTTTCTAATTTCCAAATTAGACCCTCAGCTGCCTTTGCAACGCCTCTTTCACTGCATGATTGAAGAGATCTGATATGCGTCATAAAATTTTGATCATTTTTTAGTATGTTAGGTGCTTGTTCATTGAATGTTAATGCCCATAATATTTCCAAAGCATATTGTTGAATATTGATAGGATCATCTTTAGTTTCTGTTGCACATTGTATTAGTAATGGTATAGCGCCTTGTTTTACAAGTTCATCTTTGATTTGATCATGTTGTACAAGATCTATGAAAGAGTCAATGTATAGGAATGTACAGATGAAGTAGAAGATTATCTAGATATGAGTTTTCTGAAAAGAGGTATGCTTTAAGTGAAGCCAATGAAACTTTAGAAGGAATAAATTTAAGTGTTATGCAGCGCTTTGAAATGTTCTATGTTCTCTTAACGTTTTAGTGATTTAAGGCTCCTTTCTAGCCACTTCTTGTTCTGAGTATTGATAACCAGAGAAATTTACCTGATAGAGTAAGCCAAACTGCCTACTTTTAGAACCTGTATGAGTTTTTAGCAGGGAAGTAATTTTGTTAAAATTTCTGAAAAAGACGTTCAAAAATTTTTAAACTTCTCACAGCTTCACCTTCCTATAATCTTCTCTCAACTTTTACGACATAGTAAAATTAGATGAGTTGCGCATTATCACTATAATTTACGCTAACTTTAAGTGGATTGTCAATAAAAGATTCCAAGGATGGGTTTAGTCAGAATCTTCTTATACTACGGATCACCCGATATGAAATCCCTTGCACGTTCATCAGGTGTTTTGGAACAACACGTTTCGAAAAAAAAGATGCTCGATAGTTCTTTCTACCATATGATCTAGTCACTTCTTCCAGTAAATTAAAATTAAATTTTGAGAAATTTAATATTTTAAAGTTTAAGATATGACTAGGGGTATAGCCATAGCGGTTGACGTTCTCAACTGTCAACAATATTTCGTCAGTTGAAATCAGCTGATCTAAGATTCTTAAATGATTCAAACCGTCATTTTTTCGGTAAAGCCTGGATTTGGATGCATATCTTTTGTCTATCAAAATGTTCTGAGAAATATGCCAGTTTTCTACATTAGTCTGCTCGTTTTTTGCCTCTTTTTTTTCAGTCTTCGCCTTCCTGATTTTTCACTTTGGTTTTTGGTCTACAAGTCACTCTACTTATACTAAACTATACTATACGACATTTTTATGTTGATAGTGGAGAACGTCGACGGCAAAACCGTTGTCGTTCCCGTTCAAATTTTTTGCCAAATCAACGTGAACGGCTCGAGATATAACGAACGAAATGAAATTCGAAAATCTAGCTCGATCACATGGTACGAAAGATTAGTACACTGCTCTTTTGTCGCAAAAGTTATTGCTGACTTATCGCGGTCTAGGCAACGTTATTAAAACGAATACTCGTTTTCAGTAGAATGCATAGAATTGAGAAAAAGGTCACCGGAATGCACAGTGGAATGCGACTCCTCTTAAAATGTCTCTCTGCGTGTTTATTTCTGGATTTTCACAATACTGCGAAACAAGGCTTGAAGTCTTAAGAATTTAAGTTAACAAGCTCACTCACTATCTATTGAACAAATTGAGCATAGATATTTTCTAGATGTAACGTACCTCTCATTCGATCTAGATTCCTATAATAAAGAGCTACTTATAAATATTAAATACGTACTTTTCAAACTTATCAATGTATTTTGTAGTACCCTTTTACGCACTGCATTGTCTGCAAGACATTTTATAAAATTAATAAATACTTCTGTTATCTTCGCTGGATTTGCCAATGTTTTAATATCATTTTCATTCATAATCATTGCTAAAATACGATAAGTATGAATTTGTATATGTTCATCATTACTAATCTCTGCTAGTTTTACAAAGGTTGATGTTAACTGTTTTTCTTTGATAACAGTTGCAAAAGTTGGATGAAATATTAAACCGTATAAATAAGTTATAGCAGTAAATATCAAACAGCTCATACTATCGGTGGTACCTTCTACTAATTTGTCTAATAAATTTGGTGCATTTAAAATAACGATAATAGCATCGATTAGTTTCAGATGTACATTGAGATATTTTTGTTGTAATTCACGGATAGACGTATATTGTAAAATACCAGTTAAATAACTCATTACCTGAATTATTAAATCATTACTCCATTGTTTTATCAACGGTATAAATTGTTCTAATATTTCTAAATAACGATTTAACATTGTGTGACATAGTTCAATTTGTACTTCTTCTATATGTTTCCCATCATAGCCATAAACAATATAATGTGGACACGTTAATAATAAAAAGTGTTCTTTCATACTCAATTCTGTCTTGTCTAACTGAAATTGTTTAAATATATCAATATAACAAGTAGAACAAATACATTTTACAATTGCAGCTAATAAAATTAATACCGTTGAATCATCTTGTAATTCTTTTCGTTTTTCCATTAATGTTTCAAATCCACGAATGAGAATATCAAATGCAAATAAATTCGGATCATTTAAATGTTTATCTATATTATCGATATATAATTTAATTGATTTTATCAAAACTTCATTTAAAATTAATGTTCGAAGAATATCGACATTTGTATTATTAACTCTATTTATCATAGATAAAAATATGGAAATTATGTCTTTGAATACAATTGTTTCTTGTTCATTTAAATTTTCGTTGTTATTACATTTGTTAAATAAACTCGTTAATGTATCACGGAATAGAGTCAGTAATTCAAGATCAAATGCAAATATATTAACTAACTCTATAGTATCTGTGATTGTCATCCTAGCAAGTATTTCATGTATGACACCGATAAAGGAGTCGTTGTTTGTTTCTTGTTTTAATTTATTTAATTCTTGAATAATGCAGTCGGACAATAGTTTCAATTCTTCAGTTGAAACATCTTGTGATTGTTGTCCAATTTTATCGCAATATCGTGCAATTATTTCAGAAGACATCTATTTTTTAGTTATGAAATGTATACAGTTTTTGAATAAATTAGGCTGTGTTTCTATGTAGCGTTTCAAAAAAATAATTTAAACTATTATTTCAAACATTTTTATTTGAATATGTTGTTCTCAAACGTGCTTTGAAGAAAAAAATAATGACAGGAAAAAGAAAATGGTTCCGAATAAGAAAATTTTATTATGGCAACGTAGAAAAAAATGAATAGAGTTTAGAAGTTTTATCTGCACGACTGTTTTTTTGCTTCTTATAAAATGAAAAAGAATGACAGAATTGAATCTTAGATTGTTTGTCATTTTCTCCTACATAAAACATTATTCAAATTTTAAAGCAATAACAATGAACGGCCACACCGTTTCACCCAGTCAATCACCTGTATGTTTTGAAAATTCGTTTTTTCGGGATCCTGAGTCAATTTCGCCTTTGTCTCGTTGCACTGGTGGTATAGACAAAATTTATATAGAAAAAACCCACTGTTCTCATAGTATATCTAATAGAATTAAAGGCTAAGGTTCCCGAAGCAACTTTTTGCAAAGAATGCAATGGCAGTCTCAGAAATTCTTGAAAATATTTCTACCCCGAAATAAGTACCCAGTCAGCCATAGTCATCATAGATGGGGGAGGTTACCCCTTTACGCTTTTTTTGAAAGATTTGGTCAAATTTACTCACACTTTGTGAAAAAAATATGAACGATTTACTCCCAAATTTGGAAAAGGATAAGAACGATTTACTCTCATTTCGGAGAAACTCGGAGAGTGATTTACTCCGATTTTGAACAAAATCAAGAACGGTTTACTCGTAATTTGAGAAAAGACAAGGACGATTTACTCCGAATGTCGGAGAAACCTGAGGGATGATTTACTCCGATTTTGGTTTTTTCGAATACTAAAGTGCTGCTTTCTCCGAAAACTGATATTAAATGTGTTCTTTGAAGAAGCTTTCTTAACCGACTTAGATGACTTA